TCACATTAGCGCTGCAAACATCTGCTGAGCATTGAAACAACTCATCTCATATTGTACTGCATGTACTGGTCAACAAGCCAGTGTGCAACGTGCATGAAGACAGATGGAATACTCCCCGTGTATCACAATCATTTAAAACTTAGAACTGTATCGATAAAGGACTTGGTGTTCATAGCAGTCATCAAATATAACTGACTTAGGATGGCCAACCAAAGATACTTAATAAATCATGAAACATGCATGACTGTAGAATAACTGTTTGCTGATTGATATTTGTTTACATTATAAACATGGTTAAATCTAGTGTTGGAACATCATACAGTTTTGATAAGGCCATATATCTTCACCTTGACTCTTATGATACAAGAATCAAATCTCTGGTGCCGAATATCGATAATTTAAAATTGTTTTTAAGTTGAGGGTTTTTAGTTTTTAACAGATCTCCCCGTCAATTTGATTCATCACGGCGCTACATCATGATGCGTGACACTGGTGCTTATGACATGAATGAGGGTTACTTGAAGGGAAGTTACTGTAATTGGCCATAGAGGAAGCTGACAGTGGCATTAAAGAAGAAGAAGAAAGTAGATGATGTCGGACAGCAGTGAAAAGAAGTTAAAGTATGAAGCCAGATGAGAGCTGAAACTGGCACCGACTTGCAGTAAATAAATACATGAATCCTGCTCTTTTCCTGTTAAGGGCACTTTATATTCTTCAGTTAATCAGATATCGAGATGTATCATTACCTTGTCTTGCAATTTATCAATTATCGCAGAATTGCTGTCATACCGATATCCTGGGCAACCTTTTGTGTATCACACTGTGAGCCTGATGGATTTGCACCCCTAGTTAAGTCAAAGATGTTTTTATCTGTCAAAATGATTGATTGACAAAGTAATCAATGGCGATGTTCTCATTCCTCAGCCAAATCCACCGCACCATTAAAGTGCTAAATGTGCACTGAGGATTTAATCAGGAAAGTTGCACAGTCTGATCTGTTTGCCCTAAGCCCTCCCACTGGCGCCTCTTACCTTCTGTAGCCATGATGTTTATGACCAAGTTGTGCCGTGCCGTCTCGAAAGTGCGTCTGTTATAGGCAGTAATCTGAAACACACAGGGGTGAAAGTTTAAGCCCAGATCAGTGCAGCTTATATGGCAGCAGCCCCTCCTGGACCAGGCTGAGCTGGAAACACCACACAGGCTCTGTACCCGACTCGGGCGCCATATAGAGGCACATGTGTGCTGCTGGGAACGTTAAGCCTTTTGGGAAAAGAATTTCTACAGTAGCTTATGGGGACAAAGAAAGGATAAAAAAAAAAAGAAGCATAACAGAGTTTAGGACTGAAGAGTTAGAGCGTAAATTGCTTCATGCTTTTACTTAAATGCATAAAAATCAGCTGTGCAAAGAAAAATCAATTCAAATGAGTAACCGCACAAAGACTTCTATGGTTTTGAGTCTTTCCATTCAGCCACATTTTCTTCAGTATAAATGACTGAGATTTCTGGATCATATACGATTAACACTTTGATTTCTTTCAATACTTTTACTCACAGCAGAATAAAGGGTCTTTCTCTATAACACAGAAGCCCCCATTGTTTCCTTCTCTTATCTGTTCGATTAAACGCTCCAACCACACACCTCTATGACGGTGGCTTTGCCGACGTGCTCTCCCATGGGTGAGCCATAGAGCACCCCGTCGCTGTGCGGGGTTCTCTGGATGTAGCGCAGCCAGCCTGGCCTGTCTGGGTAGCCCATCAGGTTGGTGTTGAAAGTGATCGGGTCGCTGCTGGCATCACCTGTAGGCAGAGCTGTATTATGAGCAGTCAACCAACCATCTTTTAGAAGTAACAACACATTCAGTAATGCACACTCAGACCCATTAGCCCAAATGATGGTAGAGTTGCCAAAGGCAGTTCAGCTTTTTTGTTTTTACTCGTGAAAAATGATGAATGGGCAAAGCACTTCTGCATTTATACAAAAACTGCCCACAACTACTTATACTGATGTTTAAATGATTTACAACATCAACATTACTAAAAAATAAAAACATATTTAAACAAATGGCAGATGATGTGATTGCGATTGTCTTGTACCTGATTTTGGGTACGGAGGAAACTCTCCTTTGAAGTACTCTCTCTCCAGAACATGGACGAACAGCACGCCTGCAGACGGGTAAACGTTGCGGTCTGCATGGGACCTTGATAAGATGGTGACCACTGAAACACAGATTTCAAAACAAAAAAAATGTTTTTTTTCCTGAAAGGAGAAGTTGAATTTGTCTTTTTTTTCTTTGTGTTTTATTTGTCATTATAGTGTCCTGTAAGCAGCATACATTAGAAAACAGGAGAAGGTTTTAATTGAGGTGAAAATAAATCGGGTTAATGTTCTGGTTACGACTCCCTGCTTACCAACTTCACACTTTGAAAATCAATACTGCCACAGAGATAGATGTGTTTACTTTTCCTGTCTGGAGTCAGCACCCTCAAGAAGGTAATCACATGAGCTTCACACAAAGATGCAGAGCAGAAACAGTCAAGCATGAAGACAAAACCTCAACCTACTATCTAGAGAAAAGACTCTGATTCTGCTTAAAGAAAGAGACAATACATTTACAGGGCATGTGATGTGAGCAGCTGTCGTACTGACTGTACAGAGCTGTTCTCATGTCCTCCTACAGCTCCGCATATGCTCTCTGTTCAGCCCCAATCCATTTCAAACTGAAACATTTGGTCTTTCTTTATAAACAGTATATAGGGAAAAATGGCAGCCCCCTTTCAAAAATGTTACACACTGGAGCACAGTTGATTTGCCCACTTCTTTAAGTCTCTTCTGGGCGTCTTTTTTTTCTTCACTTCTCACTCGCCTTTTACTCACTTGTTTTCATTCAGCTGCATTTTCGCACAGCTTTTTCTCTTCTCCCTTTTTCCCTTTTCTTTTATCCCTTAGTGGGCGAGCACTCAATTTTCAATCACCATTGGAGACTTTAGTGTACGAGTAGAGGAAGAAGGAGGTGGGACATGAGAATAAGAAAGCAAAGGGAGGGCCATTAGGCGTAAGAGGAGAGAAAGAGTGTGCTGCTCTCGCTTGCAGAAACAGAACTCGTCACATTACACAGCTACAACATGGTGTTGGTGCCTTCCAGCTAGCAAAATTGTCACCATTGATTATCTCCCGCTTCATCTTCTAATGAGTATCGAACCAACATTGTACATTGATAATTCTCAAATGGGAATATTACTACCCCTGGGGGTAGTATGGAGAACTGCAGGGGGTACTGGAGTTTTGAATTAATTTGACAAATATTGGTTTTACATCATTTCTAAGATAATTTAAGAACAGTAAGTTCAAGAAAATTACTAATAAATTACTAATAACTTGAAAACCACCGTTTTACATAATCAGCGTGATGACATAAAGAGTGTCTCTACTTCTAGACTGCACTGTAAGCCCTCTCCTGGAACAGAAGCTGCTTTCCAAGGAGAGTCTGCTGAAGAGAGTAATAGAGCAGGATTTACATTTTAATCCCTGTCCATAAAAGAGGAAGTCAGTATGTGATCTTTGGTGGTTAAGCGTTATCTATTACCAGGGCAGGGTGCACAAAGGGGTTAGAGAAGATTAGGTGACACAGTAAGCTGAAGATTATTAAAGAAGGCCACATCTACAAGGCCAAATTGCCTGCAATCTGATTGCAATGATGCCCTGCTGAAAGTGTGAAGTTATAAGACTGTCCCCTATGTGTGTTAAAGTGAGCTACATCTGTGGCTACAAACACAAGACGCTGGACTGGCCATATGTCCCATGTCTCTGAGGGATCAGTCACGACTAGAGAAAATCAATAGCTTTTATTAGCCTCTAAATGTGGAGCTACTTATAGAGTCCTGAGGTTATATCGCCTTCCAATAAAAGATAGAGCCAACCACCTGAGCATAACTGAGGTTCCAGGTTATTCAGAGACTGAATAACAACCAAAAAAAGAAACCTCATTCAGCTTCCAGCGATGGCTTGGTTCTATCTGCAAATCCAACTCTGAATGCACTCGCTCAGATTCTATAACCAGACCCGTCGGGCCTCATCATTTCTTTACAAAGCACAAAAGAAGCACAGTCAAAGGCTCTCGGTCAAGGTCAAACACTGGCTATTCTGCTCAGAGACCAATTGGACGCAGTGTAAACACTTGTGACACATCCACAGATGAGACAGGCAAGCGTGCACAGATGGCCACTAAGTCCACATCTAATGGTCTGAGGAATAGAAAATGACCAATGGGATTTGAAATGTGCTTCAGTCCATCAACATTAAAGCTTCAGTTCCACAACAAACCCTTAGGCCTTTCACACACTCCTGGCAGCCTTCTGTCAATCAGTCTCTCTTCACAGGTTCCTGCTGGACTGTGTTTCACCCTCACCTTTGACTGCAGGCTCTTCCAGTGTAAGTAAAGATCACTGGCTAAGCTACGCTAAGGCCCTGCTAATAGGACCAGATCTGCTTATATGTGCCAGGCTGAGTTTGAGCCAGGCCTTCTTGAGATGATGGACTGCAGCGTCCACCTGTACATAATACATCACCAATTAAAGGTTAATACTGAACTGTCCCAGAAAGACTAACCTAGCTGTTCCTGTTGTAGGACACATTTATACATGATACATTTTCCTGCTTATCAAGCTACATACACAAGTGTGAAAGAATTACTTGTAACATTTTAAAAATCATACTTACTGACACATGCTAAATTGCTAATACTTAACATTGTGTACCACCAACAGGTCTTTAGGGGGTTTGAAATGGCTAACTAGGTTTCATGGCCTCTCTCAGCTTGCTCTTGGATTGGCTGAAATCTCAGAAGTGAAGCCTTATAGTTAATCCACCCTTGTCCCTAAAACGGACATAGCTAACCAAGGCCTCTGTCTAACTGAGGAGAAGGAAAAAGAGGGATGTTCTTCAGTTTTGTTGAATCAGCGCAATGTGTGCACATCGTCCTCAGGGGTCAGGAGGAACACATGTGCTTCTTTGGTGTTTGAGGGGAAACACAGACTACAAGGATTGCTACTGTTTGGAACAAGGCTGTGATGCATTTGAGCCTGGTTGGCTTAAATGCAGACCTGGAAGTGAAAGTGGTTTAAGTCACAAGAAACAGAAGGCGAAGGCTAAAGACAAGAGTGGAAATGAAACACATGGATGAGTCTCCAAGCGCTCTATAGAGGTAAGTAAACCACTTTGTTTGAAAAGGATAGCTGTAAAGTACCAGTATCATGTTAAACAGAAGAAATTGTTATTTGTCTTAAAGATAATGATTGTTGATTAATTCTAATTCAAGCGAGATCAAGGTTTAGATAAAGTAACAAATCACTGAAATGCTACTGCAGCAAAAGAAAGTGGGCCACGTCTGTGGGACAGCTGAAAACAATAATGCCAGTATTAATGGGGAACCAGTTGAGCGTGTCACAGTGTTATGACAGCAGGGGGGGAGGAGGGAGGGAGGGGGCAGCAGCGGGTCAACACATGAAGCGCACCACACACCCACTCACCATCTCTGTTGTGGGCTGTTCTCTGCTTGGAGCCCATGGATCGCTCCATACGGACAGTTCTCTCATGCAAAGCGATGTCTTTGGCATCAAAGGCATGCACAATGTAAACTACTGGATCAATGAACGAAAGCATGAATGGAACAAGAGACTTCTGAGCTATATGCTTAGTTTGCACGTACACCTGACAGTTTGACACGTACACCTACCCTAAAATAATGCAGTCTAACAAAACAGCCACGCAATTAAGTCTTCTCTTTTGAAGTTTCAGTGTACAAGATGCATTTTAAAGTTTTTGAAAGATCAAATTCAGATTTTGTGGCAATTTCTAGAAAAAAATAGCTTTTTTCTTTTAAGTAATAATTTTGAAATATTATCCAATGGTGTGTATTTTTATTTAGGTTGTAGTAGGCTGATTTTTTTTAACTTTTCCCAACGTGGTTATGACTCCATAGATATCTGGCTTGAGTCTGACCAATAGGGCCCCTTTCACTTCAAGCCAGCCCTTCAGTCATTAGTATCAAAATAATAAATATAAGAAAAATAATAACTGCAACAACAGGCCTTACCTGTAATGCTGTTGATCTGATATACATTGATTGTCTAAGAGGGAATTTATGAATTACAGTCAAACTGTGTATAAAATCATGTTTGTATTCGTATTAAAGAAGCAATGAACAATTTCTCTTCCAAGACTTCAATGCGGCCCTTTGTTTAAAGTCTGTGAAGTTAGATGTAAGGTTAACACTTAGCCTATCGCAACAGCACAAACTGGAATTTAATGTACTTGATTCATTTAATTTAATCAAAAAATCTGGAATTAAGATTCAATTAATTTGAATTTCTAAATCAGAAAGCATTGCTACCTTCATGAAGAAAGGCTCAAGTGCAGAGCTGTGGTTTTAGACTGCCTTTGAGTAGTGTTTATTTTACCCATAAATATTTTGTCAGCATTGATAAACAGCTTCACACATGCAGTAAAGGACCGCTTAACACAGCTGTATATTTATAATATCTATTCCCCAACATGTCACTAATGATGACTTGAGCTGCTCTGGCCATTAGCTGCTTCATTAGGCATTCATAAAACACCTGGACCACATACAAACACAGGCCTGTAAGAGGGTGACATACGCTTTTTCTCCAAAGGTTTTTAAACATAACTAGCGTTTACAATATCACATGACTATTTCGAGTTGAAGCCACTGTAGAAAACACATTTTCACGTTGAATGTTAAGGTATTTAATTCGTGTGACGGTAAAGCTGTCCCCTGGTTGCCATTTTTCCGTGACTCCTCCTCAAGTCTCCTGGAAAAAATGAGCCAAGCAGCTAGGCTAACTAGCGAGCTAACTAACATAGACTCCGCATCAAAGGCAAAACGCACGAATATTCCCCGATACAGCCGAGCATAATCGATACGTACCCGTACTAAGCCACACCGCGACACCTGCTGCGGACATGGTGCTTATCATCCTTGTAAATCTGACATGAAAAGGGATGTTACATCTCATCGCCACTGGGTCTGACAGCCATAATAATAAGCATCCTGCAGCATTCCTTCCTCCGCCTCCTTCACGGCCGCTCATTGGCTGCACATCTGGATGGAAAAAGATGGTTGTCTTGTAAAATTGAAAAGTGGAAAATAAGATGTGAATCAAAGTAAGAGCACCACGCCTATAGAACATTTTTATGTGGTATGTTGTTTTAGTCAACCGGATTTAAAATTGTCTTCTTTCATATCCAAGGAGATGTGTGCGTGTGTGTGTGTGTGTGTGTGTGTGTGTGTGTGTGTGTTGACCTGTGTCCATGGGGACGAGGATTATTTGCCTTTTTATTTGCAGTTTTCTTGTTTTCTTTGAAAATGTTTTGCGTGAACATTTCTAAACTATGAAAGAAACATTTTGGAACTCTTTTGAAAAATCTTGACATATTTTGTGAACAATTGTGACAATCACATGCTTATACACAAACATCTCCTCCCCAGGGCTAGACCTCCAAAGCCCAGCTGTTAGAGGGCATAGACATGTTTGAGGAGTCTATTCCAATCTGTCCAGACCCCCTGCAGAGACAGAGCAGACAGATGGGCATGTTTTGGCCCCTTGCCTCCAAGTCAGGCTTGCTAAAGGGCCGTGAGACCCTTAATTCTCCACTCTTGCTCCCTTGAAGTCAGCCACCACTAAAATGAAGACTTTGATCATGCAAAAAAAGCATCCTAATTCTCCCTCACATACTGACAGTGCTGCCTGCATGGGCCTTGTCTGATAAATTCATGATCGAAATCAGATTCATGGCTTCCTCTGTTCTGATAAGCACCATCCATTATGTGCTCTGCAGTGTGAGGCTGTTCGATAATCACCCTCCCTCCCTTTTATCCCCTTAAGATTATTTTTAGGTTGCTTAGCAACATCTTCACATAGCAAGTGTTTCAAGTGTTTGGACTTGTATGAATGCATCACAACAATTATGGTAGGCTACTATATAGGAGATGAAGATAGACACACACACACATACACACACACACACACACTTGGAAGGAAGCTGAAGTAGTTGTATGTAACTAATGTGCAGATCTGGTTTGATTAAGGTCCAATTCTGTTTAGTAGCCTACATTAGTTTACTTAAACACTGCTGTGGTCCTGAATTTGCTTGCTTGAGCAGTGAGACAGTATATTCCCACTCTTCTCAGCAGAGACCAGCTATGGCTATATACATTATAAGGTATAACATTGTTTTTTTTTCTTGTAGTCTATAGCTGATGCAATAGTTAAAAAAAACACATTTTTTCTCAGTTCAAGATTCAAGATGTTGGATGAAAGTAAAATATGAACAAAGGTATCACACCTTATATAAAAAAAATTATATGTAAACCACCTTTGTTTGTGACGAAACGATAATGGTGTAAATTGCATATTTTGGCAGAATATGTGAGCACACACTTAAGATTAACATCATGCAATTTTGAGAGGGTGACAAATAAATCATTAACATCTCATTTAGATTCAAGCTTCATAGTGATTGAATCTACAAAATCACACTTCAAAATGTTATTCATAACTTGAAAATTGTGCTAACACAATGTGGGTGTAAGATATACTGCCATACCCTTACAACACGTAAAAACCCATTATATTACCTTGGGACAAAGCTTCCATTCCAGTGCTTTATCACATGAAATAAATGCCTCTGTTAACTACTCTGTGACCCAGAGGGCTACACATTTCAAATTCAAATTTCCATTATCATATTACTATAAGCTATAAATAATGCTACAAGATGGCTTAGACAGATTTACACCATATAATATTTAAGAATATGCATGTGGTCATTTTAGTAGGCTATTTGTTGACGGTAGCCTATTTAGCAGCCTAATTTGATATTCAGAGGTTTTTTTTTTATTGGATTAGCCCATATTCATATAAACCATTTCCCCTGGAAACAATTTTACAATTTAAATATGGCCAGCTGCAGCTGTTGGAGACTAATCAATTATTATACTAATCAATTATTATCATTTATTATATTTACTGAATGTCTAGGCCCCCTGGTGGTCCTTCCACCACATTTTCAGACACCCTAATTTGAACACCCATCTCACACACACCCTGTGGTCTTTGACCCTTTCCACCCCACCCAGAGCCCATTGATGAACAATAAGCAGCCGGTAAAGTTACAGTGGCTGAGTGCTGGTATTTATGCCAGACTGCAGCTCACTGAAACCCCCTCCACCCCGCAGATTATCGGACCAAACCATTGCATCATTTCAGGTTTAGCACCTGTCACATGAGGCATTACATTTGCAAATCACCGGCTATCATTCAGCAAAGTACATTTTCTTTACTATACTGCAGCAGCCTGTGTGTCCCTGCCCTCCTGCTAACGCTGCCACAGTGCAGCTCTCGATGGGATGAGCTGCCAAACCGCACCGACACCCCTACAGTGCGACGAGCAGCATCACCCACTGCCTGCAATGGCGTTGTAGCGGCTCCAGTGTGTCCAAACCTTTCTGTAGTTGGCGATTCAGTCACGGACTATTTACCATCGTGGGAAAGAGATGGTGTTTTTTTTGCAAGGGTCTTGCATCGAAAGCATCCCATTTCCCTGAGTTTGCCCTCTGGATTATTGTTTATTTGTATCACGCGTCAAGCGAAGCCGGAGCCATGAATGTAAGTCTTTTGTTTTTGTAACATTTGGATCAACATCGCTGTGGTTTGGGGTTCCCAGTTAACTTCAGAGACAAAATCGATGCGTTTGTATCCTAACCTCTGCATGAATCTGCACATGAGGTGTAAATAAATGCATGTTTATCAGTTGTCGAAAGAAACCGGGTGCTGTTATGTTGTGTGCGGTGTGGCTGATGTGCGGCTCGATGCCTGCTCGTCTCATCCCACTGACACAAACCTCATTTCATCTTTCATCTTTAACCTCTAACTTTTGTTATTCCCTATTGAATTGTCCCACCAAAGGTGTTCCTCGCGTTAAAAGAAGGTGATTGTTTGCACAGGGATATCTCATAGGTGATATGATGGAACAGCAAGAGTCCAGCGTGGTGAATGATGAATATTGAACCAGGACATTTAGGTTTCAGCCTCTGCTGCTGCTGCTGCTGCTTCTGTTGCTGCATCCTCCATAGGCTACTATTCAGGCTGTGGGCTTCAGTTCAACTTAGATTAATGTTTTCTATCTCTCCCAGGAGAATGTATTTATTTCATATCAGCTTTATTGAGTAATATTTTATCTCCCTCTTTATGAAATGTAGTTCCACACAGGATTAAACATTTATGTCTGTAGGTATGGAATATTTAACTATTCCCTGCTCTTGCACTGTAATGTTTTTATGGAAGCACCTGCATAATATATCAATATCAATTTAAACTGCAAATCTTTCAGATGAGAAAATGCTTAGCATTGTTTTTACTGGGTTGGTATTGAGTATGTTTTTGATGCAAACTAATCTATAGCATCGTTGGTGGTTTTGATAGCTGCGGGATGTGGCAGTGCATAAGAGTAACAGCTTACTGTAGTAAACAGTGGGAGGGAGGGGAAAAAAATAAGTATGGGTAAATAAAACAACAATATTTCCAACAACACAGCATCAACTACACAAAAAAAGAGTTCACATTCTTACCCTGATGTCTACAGTGAGTATTGATTAGAGAAGGTAAACAGTACAGCCCTGCTGAAAAAGCAACATCATCAGTGTGCTTTTAGAGGCCAATAGGCTTTACTGACTAGTTCTCCTTTACTAAGAGCTTTATATCCAACATCAGCATTTGTAGTTCATTTAGCCCCAGTGTTTCTGGTGTTGTTGTTGGAAGGTCAGCATGATACACTTTCACTCTTTTAGCCTTCATTTGTTATCATACCCCTTCTAGTTTAAGTGATGTTATTGTATTCTGGTGTAAATGGTTATCGATTGAATATTCAAGTAATTTAGTGTTACAAAATGATTCTATCTTTGTACCGTAACATCTCTTCTTCTCTCTGCAGGTGTGAATGGGCCTACAGGAGCTTTATCATCAGTTGGATCAGATTAGGCAGTGCTGCGGTAGGTCAAACTAAACTCGCTAGCTCCCACTTTCTAATGAGGCCACGGCGATGCTGACATCCCCTCTGAATCCAAAGACAACATCATGCTGAAGACGGAGCCCTCGGGGGAGAGGACCAGCCTCCGGAGTGCCTCCCCTCACCGCAATGCCTACCGGGCCGAGTTTCAGGCCCTCAAGAAGGCCTTTGACCAACCTCGGATCGATGGAGACTCCAGGCCCAAAGATCTGGAACGGGTCAAACAACCAAGGGGCCGCCAGTATGGCTCCCATGTCAGCCGCATTAAGGACATGTTCATGCAGATGGGCACCGAAAACACTAAGACCAAGGTTTGTGAAGATTCCTCGCCGCAGAAACTCGTCAAGCCCACCAACTTCGTCAACAAGGCTGATGGATCAATAATAAAACTTCAGCATTCCGCATCGTCTGACAGGGTCGGAGGTGCCGGAGCGAAATTCTCTGAAACCAGGAAACTGTTCGAGCAGCAGTCACGTGACCAGTCCCAATCACCAGTCTTTCCATTAGGACGAGATAAACGAGGTTCCCATGAGCACCTTGATGACTGGCGAGGTACAAGGTCTAATCGAGGCAGTACGGACTCCTTGGACTCCCTCTGCTCCAGAACAGAGGCGTCCTCACCAACTGTTAGTCAACTCAGCGCTGTTTTTGAAAACGTCGACCACCACAATCAAGGAATTAACCACAAGGGAGTCAGCAGAAGGGCCCTCTACTCACCAGACGGTTTCCAAAGACCCGGAGGCGACCTCAGTGAGGATGATTCTCGACAGTCTCCAGTTCGTGGAAGCTATCGTACAAAGTTAGGGGGAAAGTTTCCAACATCTTCTTCTGCTGAAGACCTTCTGAGCCCCAGTCCAGGAAGAGAAACTTCTGAGCTGAAACCAGTGTCAAAAGAGGAAGAAGCCCAAGACAAAACAAACAAGGTCAATACTACAGTTGGAGATAGACAGCGACTCCCTGGGGTCACCACCAATGGAAGTCAGGTCAATGGTTCTTATGAAGAAGACGAGAAGCCGTCAGAAACAAGAAAACATGCTGGGGATGTAGGGGTGTCCAAACCTTCCAAACCTCTAGATGAAGCTGTGATTACCAACAAAGCTTTTGAAGATGCAACCCCTGAGCCACTGCCGACCCCGACTACCCCAGCCGGGGAAAGCCAGGATGATCGTTTAAGAGAAGACAAGACGTCTGGATCTCCCAAGGACGAGGCAGAGGAACCTGACGAGGATTACACTGGCAATGAGCGGGTGATTTTTAACGCAGACGGGGACGCCTGTTACCAGGGTTGGGGGGAAAGCTGCACAGATCCCGAGGATGACCTCTACGGAGACGATGAAGATATTGTCTATGACCCTGGCTGTGACCTGACGGAGATCCCAGGTCTACCACAAGAAAACCAAGAGGACATCCCTCCTAAAAGGAAGATCCGCTTCAGCACTTGTCCCATCACAGTAAGTTTAAAGCTTAACAAAACTGTTAGGGAGGCTTTAATTGTGTAAACCCACTGAACACAATTCAAACATAAAAGCCCTTGTGATGCTCTTATCAGAAGTAGGTTAAAACAACAGAGAGCCAATATCATATTCAGAGCTTCCTTCTCATGGGCCTTTCTTCATCATTACTATTGAACTACTCATTATGATTGGCTTTTTGCTTAAATTGTCATGAGATCAGATGATCATTATAAAATTGATATTTTTCTGTAATCTTAATCCTTATAACACTTTTATAGGGTTGTTTCATTTCAAACCTTTATTTTATATTAATCCCCTTTATTGAAGCGATAACCGGCAGTGATAAAATGTCATAGCTGTTTCTCTCTGAATGAAGGGTTTGTTGCTTCTGATGCAGAGCTTGAGGGTCAAAACATCACCCTCCAGGGGACATTGGCGTGTTCATAAGCAGAACATCTGTGCATGTGTTAGTCATGCTGGTTCTACACCCCCACAGTGTCTCTGTTGATTTCTCTCAAGCAGTCACATCTCCACTTTTAAAGTGAGGAGGCCATTTTATTTTGCTTTATAAGAGGATATTTGGCACCTTTCAATGGCAGAGTCAACATGAGTCTGTCAAAAAATACTGTATATAGAACATACTGTGGCCTATATTAAGCATGTAAATTGATTCTTGTGTGTGTACCTTGTCACGTCTGTTATGCTCTATGGCAAAATACTACATCTTTTTTTTTTATCATCCATGTCATTGAGGTTGGAAAATAAGTATTAACACCACAATCTGGATACATATCACATAATTGTTTTTTTTTTAATGAATAGAAATAGCATTACTGTAGTATGTGTTACATCATCTTCTTTGAAGTATTTATATTCTATTTACCCTGCTGAGCTGGAAACAATGAAGCCAGTGTTGTTTGTGGAATTTGGAAGATGGATTTGGAAGATTATGTGAAATATTTTCAGTCCTTATCCTTAAGCATGTAGAATCAATAAGCCTAACATTCGTAGTAAACAAGGCTCTTTCGGTTTTTGTCCTTTAAATTCATTCAGTGAAATCAGTTTTTTTTTGTTTTTCATTTTTGAGATTTACATCCCGTTTACATAAAAGCATGTTATGCCCAATTGTCGTCATGTGGCCTGTGAGGGCAACACAGTGATGGTTTCTAATTGAAGGTTTGGTATGGAATTTTTTTTTTAAGCTAACACAAACATGCCACAGGTTGAGGAACAATCCTATTAACATGCTGTTACAAACCAGAACAATTAGCCCAGTTATTCTGAGGAGAAAAAACGTGATGTTGGCTCACTAATTACTCCGCACTGTCTCTGCAATTAGCTTCTTTCTCTTTTTATCCCTCTCAGGACTCACCACACGTGCTTGAAAAAAAACCCACACTCCTTAATAAAGCATATACTCTTACATAATGTAGCTTAAACATAAAATCAAATGTAGCGTGAATTTTAATTGTGTTATTTCAGTGATATAATCAACAACAACAAATATTTGATCATTGATAAAAGTGGCTTTTCTTCACTTGTATAGCAAATGTAATTCTTATGTTACAGTGAAAGAAGCTTGTCGGTTTATATGATGATTTGTTTTTGTCTGTCTGTTCAAGGCTTCTGTTTTCTATGAAAGGGACCGACGCTCGTTCATCATATGGAATATTCAAAAGAGGCACTGCCCCCCTTCACATAGGAGCACATGCACAATTAGACATGCACCCCTCCCACTTCTCCAACATACGCCCCCTCCTCTCTGCTCACGAGGAACAAACAGGGATCTGTCTTTTGTTCGTCCATATAGTGAAAGGGACAAAGCTATATTCTAAGCCCTCGGCCCCGCACGAGTCTAGCTTGACCCCCGTTGACTGAGACAGCAAATAAGACGGCAAAAAAAAAACCCCCAAAAAAAACATTTTTATCATCTAATACTTCATGTTCCCTCCCCTTCATGTAATATTTCTTAGTCGTGCCCTGTAAAGCGGATAAATCATTTCAACATCCCAGCTTTGAGAGCTCATTTAATTTGGAAATCATCTTGGCAACCACAAGGAGAAGATGAAACGCAACCAGTTTATGGCAATATTTTGTAAAGATGCGCATGGACTTATGTTTGAGAAGGCGTATCCAAATGCTCAAGAAAGCTTTTTGTTGACATCTCCAGTGTTTGTGAATGAATCTAGTTTGTATCTATACTAACACCAGGTCACACATCAGTTGGTCTTGTTGCATTTTGCACATAAAAGTAAACCTCACAGAGAGTCTTCTCTCTTATAGTACTACAACTCAAACATGAATCCACAGTAAGATAGTTTACTACATAATACAAGTAAGATCATTGCATGTGCAAGAGGGAGCAGTGTACCACACACACACGATCTCAAATAATCTCGTGGGATCTCAGGGGTAGCAGATGAAAACAAAACATAGTGATGTCGAATAAATCGGCCTTAAACTAAAGCCATAAAATGCATTTGCTGATTTCTTTAAAAAAAATGTTTTACACAAACACAGTTTCATATAAATAAACCCTAAACACACACATTGATCGGTGTTCCCCTAACCCAGTGGTTCTCAACCGGTGGATCGCGGAGCCATTTTCAGTGGGTCGCAAATGTGTGCCTGGAAAAAAACTTGTGTAAGCAAGTCTGTGCTTTGTTCGGATAGGCTTCTGTCACATGTTTTGTACTGACTGGGGTCCAAATTTTCAGTAAATAAATCTGATTGGTCGGAAAACATCAGAAATTTGGGTCGTGATTTTCACTGACGAGTTGGTGGCAGGTCCTTAGGCTAGATGAGTTGAGAACCACTGCCCTAACCCCCCAACAACACCATCATCCGGTCGATACTTTTATTGTTGATGTGTCCAGATGGTCATTGACCAAACACCTGCTAAACCAGCCTCAGCTTCACTTGCATGCTAACTAATACTTGCTAAACTTAGGTGGTGAACACAATAAACTTTATACCTTTATGGCATTAGAGCATTAGCATTGTGGCTGTGTGAGCATGTTATCCTGTTGACATTAGCATTTAGCTCAGGACTGCCGTGCCAACAGTATGTATATTCTAACGGACTCTCTACCGGGTCTGTAATCGCCCAGCGTTTCTCTAGCACGCATACAAGTTTTTTTTCTTTATCAAAGATTACTTCCACATCCCTTCATGCGGTTGTAAAATCCTGATTGACCCAGTGAGAAGTGACTGCTTTGAGCCACACAAGGCGAAGGCAAGCCTGCCCTCCCGAAGGCACTGACCTACAGAGAGAGAATCAGATCTCATGTTCATTCAAGCAACCGGTTTTCTCCTTGACATTAGTACCTCTAGTCTGTGTTTTCTAGACAGCAGTATTGTTTCTAGTATCCAAGCAGTTTCAGTCTTCTATCACACATTTGATCTTTTGTTGTCAAAGTAAGTTCTGTGCAGCTGATACGACATTGAGAACAGATTTTTTTGATCCCGAGGCATCAAGTGAGTCTCTGCCAGTGTTTGGTTCCCAGTTTTTGGATCTCTCAAGGTTTCACAGTTTTAAGCCTTGATGCAAAAAAAAGTAATCCCAAAAGCTTTTATCTTTCTCACACTTGTTGCAGTTTTTGATTTTCCCTTGCAGTGTTTTTTTTCTTTCTCTGTGTTGAGCAGCACCCCGTGAGTTTGACAGAAGAAGTCTTCTCCCTCTGCATGCAGTCTGCTGTGCCCGTCTCCTCCTGTTTTCCTCTCTCCCTCTCCACGTGAATGGCATTCATATCATCTTTTTAATGATACTTTTTTTTTTTTTTGTGCCTGTAGAGCAACTGTTTTCTCACAGGCGGAGACACTGTGATATCTTAATGGTATTAAGCAGATGCGATGAGTGGAGCACCGGTTAAATGGCTGCTGAAGTACCTCTGCAATCAGCCCCTCCACATGCTGTGTGTTACAGCATCAGAGAGGACGCTGTTTTGTCCATTAGATTCTGCTGCTGCGCCGTTAGTTGAATGCAGAGCGGCATAGCTCAGAGCCATAATCAATATGATGTTTTACATTCCTCTTCTGTATGGCAATGTTTTGTTGTTAAAGAGACATTTTGACGAAAGTCCTTTACCAGATGTTTTGACAGGGGTGTTGTTTGCTTCTGTGATTGGTTGAGCCCTTTCTTTTTTCTGTGATTTGTAAAAGTCCTAAAGTGATCAGGGGCCAGTTAGCTGTATGAGCTGTTAAAAAAATGACAGGGTTGTGAGATGCCCACATAGAGGTGCATATGACCATAGAGTCTCTCAGTCTGGCTTTCTTGAGCCTGTATAAAGTAGGTTGATTTAATACTTTTAAAAGTATTAAAAATTAAGTTATATGGCTGTAACAGCCAACTTTGTTGTGACAGTGTTGGGAGGCCGGCGACTTTGCCACCTGTGTGCCTGTGGTTTATATTTTTCATGTTTTTCTGTGCTTATATACTTATTTATTTACTTGTTGTGTATTATGATTGTACTGTTGATTTTGTTCGTTGTGTGAGTGAATGGACCAGGTGGCAAACGAGTCTCCCCCGCTGAGGATTAATTAAAAAAAAAAGTTTTCTAATCTAATCTAACAGAAATGAAAAATGATCTGATACCAGGTAGATTATTACCTGATAATTACAAACGACAACATTGTGACACTAGCACAATCCCACTGGAATCAGGCTGATACTCGCATATAACTTTGGGTATATGGTAATCAGAATTGGATGATCTCCATATGGGGTCCTTATTGATATTGTTTTTCATATCGTTGTTGGGAACATTTGTTTGCAAAGAGAAACCACACATATGTTCTATTTCCATATTTTTTCTCTGTATTTTCTACATTTGTTCTGTTGTTCTTCATGTCTCAGGCTGCAATATTTCAAACCAATTTGAAGTTCTATCTTTTACTTTACTGGAGCATGAAAGAAAATAGAGATAAAATCACTGAAGCTTAAAGAGGAAATAGCCATAAACAGAGAAAACTATATAAGCCTCCAAGTGCTGCTGCTC